GGCTAACCTCGAGCTGGGGAACTACGGGGTCCACCGGTCAACGGACAGGGGGGGGTGCTCCCTCGAGTTCCCTCTAGGCTTTTTGTTTTTATATTTGAGTCCTACTTCTGCCCCCGGTGCTAAACGTTTGTTTTTGTTTTTTAGATGTTCATGTTTTAGGGTCTTTTATTGCGCTTTATCCGCTTTCCTGCCCGAGGGGTGGAAACAGTGGCCGCAAAGAGGGTTAAAGTCCAAAAAAACCCGTACGGCGCAATGCTAAACCAAGATCCAACAGCACAACGAGCATGGCGGTCTACGGGGATCGCACGTTGTGTGCGTAACCCGAGACTTTCCTTCTCCAGCACGCCGCCGCGTCGTCTTCTGTGCAGAGGCAGGTGCGCTTCGGCAGACGCGGCCTCCGGCTGTGCCATCGCTCGACGTCTTTGTCTTCACAGTCCGGTTCAACATTTCAAGCGACGAGGAGAAAGCGCAGATTTTCGGCGTTTTCGTGCCGGGATCATTGTTACAGTTTTGGCAAAAATTACTCAAATTTTTTTGTTGCTTTTCTGACAGTATTTCGGGTGCCGCGCGGCGGCCAGGAAAACGCAGCTTTCATACGGCTCATACCTCGAACACTGTTTACAGATATACTGTATGTGGAGTGGCAGGATATAGAAACTCTGCAAGTGCGCGCACCGCGTCCCGTACCCTATCCTCTGATGGCGGCCTGGGTGCCCCCTCCTCCCATTGGCTGCCGCTGGATTTTGGGGAACTCTATAAAAACGGTGCTCGCGGCTTACTATGTCATTCGATCTTCCTCAGTATGCCATCTCCTCGACCAATCGCAGCCACTGGAGGAGTTAACAGGGCCGTACGTTCAGGGGCCACACTGGACTCGCGCTGCGGAAGTCCCGCACTTGGCATGCATCTGTAGCCGCTGTTTTGTCTACCGGCCTCCATATTGGATTTCATGGCTGCCGCTGGAATGCGAAGCGGCGTGCTCCATGCACGAGAGTCGCCCGAGGCGGCCATGTTTTGTCCGTCTCGTTGGGTTGAGTGGTGTGTTTAGGAGCGGGCACGTGCGCGCACTCGCAGAGGAGACATAATACAAATCATGGTACTTACTTACTACTACTGCTGTACAACAACTTCACATGGTGCTTTCCAATAGCGGGATGACTAAAAACATAGGCGTCCACGGTGCCTTATCGAGAAACGCCGTGCGGAGGACTTGTCGCCCCCCTTTCCAACTTGTGCTAAACACGCCAGCGGAGCAATGGCTGCGTGACCTGGTGCTTCTATACACGACACGTGCCTACGGAGAGATCCGCCGGAGCCCGTGAGACCAGAGATGCAATGCCACCGGAGAGGAGAGTCTTCTCTGACGTGGCCGGTGCTTTAGGTTTAGGCCGTCGTCCATCCTG